TGTCATGAAACATGCAATGTTCTAGTGTTTTTAATACCTGACATGGTTATTGCAGAATTTGGTTAGCTGGGGCTGATTGATGAATATAGTTCTCACTTCCTCTTGATCAGCTAGGGAAGTTTTTTCTGAAACATCCTCTGTCTTCTCATAGCCTGTAAAAACACAGTATGATTTTCATATAAAGAGATTTAAATACATAAGAATCAAGGCAGTACAGAACACAAAAAAAGACATCTATTGCAAATGTGAACCCAGTGTATTTGCATTTCTCACAAGTAATGGCCTCTGAAAAAAACATAAAAGTTTTTTTAAATGTAGTAAAGAGGCTTAGTAAAAACCTACACCCTCCACCCCCACAATCATTACCTTGCAAAACCCACTGGGAGTGGCCTAATAGTGAGACCTTCCAGCTCCCTCTCTCATAAGAGAAGGAACATCCCTCCGCTCATGATTGCATATTATCAAATCCCATGGACTCATGTATTGCCAGCTTGTTTAAGTGTTCCCTAACCTGGTCCTCCTCCACCAAGATAAGCCTTTCTTGTTTCAGACTTTCCAACTGATATCAGGAACCTGTGGCTCCTGAAAGCTGATCTTACTGGTAGACACTAAAGGGGAGAAGACTGTGTGTACTGTATTCCTTTTCTCTGTCCTTTGTCTCCAGGTGAGTTCTCTTGCCACATTCACCCTGCAGGTCCATGTTTCCCACAGTCATCACCTCCTGCTGTTACATCTGAACAACAAGAAGGGCCTCTTCAAGCCACTCACCAGATTAAACTCCAGGTAGGCTTTGACTTCGCTAGCTAAACCTATCCCTCCCTACTCCTCTACAGCCATCTGTCCCTGCTTTCACCTCTTGTATGTTAACTTTTTATGCTTGAGTTTTGTCAGGGACTCCTTGCTAATTCACAGAGTCATAGAACGGTTTGGGCTGGAAGGGACCTTAAAGATCATGTAGTTCCAACTCTCCTGCCACGGGCAGGGAACCTTCCAGTAGATCAGGTTAACTCAGAGCCCCATCCAACCTGAGCCCATCTTGAACACTTCCAGGGACAGGGAGCCCACAGCTTCTCTGGGTACGGGTTAAATGCCTCATCACCCATCATTATAGTTTAGAATTTCTTCCTAATACCTAATCTAAACCTTCCTTCCTTCAGTTTAAGATCTTGTAGAAATTTATGAGGTCTGCACAGGCCCACCTCACAAGCCTGTTAAGACTTTGGATTGCAACCTTCCCTCCAGCATGTCAACCACATCACTCAGTTTGGTGTAGTGGGCAAACTTGCTGAGGGGTCATTGAATCCCATTGTCCGTGTTGCTGACAAAGATGTTAAAAAGTGCCAGTCCTGATACCAACCCCTGAGGAATACCCCTTATCCCTGCTTTCCACTGAGCCATTGATTGCAACTCTTGAGAGATCAACCAACTAATCAATTTTTCATCCACTGAGTGCTCAATCCATCAAATCCATATCTCTTCAGTTTAGAGACAAGGCTGTTGTGTGGACAGCATGAAATGCTGTCCTACCGCCACCTTTGCTTGATTTCTTGCTCATTGTGATGGACCAGTCTTGAGCTGGAAGGATGTGATTCCTGGAAGCTATGGCCACTAAACTGGTTAATCTTAGTTGTATGGTGTCATTGGTTAATGAGGTACCATTCTTTTACTTGCTACAAATTTTCTTCATGACATTAGCCAGATTATTTCCAGAGAGGTGACATCACCATATTTATTTTGTGTATGCTTAACTTGAAATAGTGTTATTAGACTCACTGACATTCCTAGCACCCGCCTCCACTAGTCAGTGAAAGCTGAGCTTTGTGCATGTTCTTCTAGATAATAAGGAACCTTGAGCCAACCTGCATCCCAGCTTTCATCTGTAAAGGAGGATAGCAAAGTGTTCTTCTCTGTTAAGGTTTTTCACTAATGTTTTGTCACAATTCAGCCATTATACTGATCATAACAGGATTAAGCAGTTTGTTCAGGCTTGAGCGTGTACAGTAAAAACAGGTATGGTATAAAGCAATCACCATAAAGTTTTAATGTGATACCAATCACCATAAAGTTTTAATGTGATACCAATAATCTGTGTGTGGAATAGTTGACTGTTAAATAAACACTGTTCACTCTGTATGCCAAATGAGAAAAAGAAACAGGAAAAAACCTATGTTAAAATGCAACTGAATACATTAGAATGTATATCCTGTCAAGGATGTCGTGGTTTCGCCAACCAGCCCATCCCTGGGGCTGAGGATGGTTTTGTCCAGGTAATTTCTGGACAAAAAGGCCAATCAAAAGTCCAGTAACGCCTTTGCTAATTACATCTTCAAGAAAATGGAAAAGAAGGTTGTTGGCGCAGTTGGAATTAGAGTAGCAGCCATGTAGGGGAGAGAAATAGCGGGCCCAAGCAGGGCCAAACTCCCTCCTCCCCCGGCTTGGGCCGGGGGGGGAGCAGGTGCAGCACTGAAGTCCTCCTTTCTCTCTTGTAAGAGAGTGAAGAGAAAAAAAAAGTTTAAAAGACGAACTGCTTAGACAGAAACCGCTGTGGAAGAATTCCAGCCGAAAGATAACGGAGCTTCCAAGGTCGGAGCTGGCAGCTGAAGCTGCAACAAGAAAAGTAAAGTGCGAAAGGGGGGAGGCTTGTTTCCCCCCTGCTTTTCTGCTCTCTTTCCTTAGCAGGGAAAAGACTGAAAAGTAATCCCTGCTACTTGTAAAAGCTTGTTGAAGTAAGAAGACCCCCTATGCAGCTAATAGAAGAGTCTGTGGATATACCAAAGAGAAACAAAACTTCATGAGAAAGACTGAAGTGAGGCAGAGTCCTGGTGGAGATTTGTGACCCTGAGGGAAACCTGTGCTGGAGCAGTGACGACTCAGGTAGAATACTAAGATCCGTGTGTGTGTGTGGATCTATACTGCTGTTAAAGATTTTGTAACTCTGAGAAATCTCATGCTAGAACGAGACGGCCCATGTGAAATGTTGGAATCTGTGCGTGTGTGAATTCGTGCTAGACCCGTGCTGAGAAGTCTATCAAGGACTGTTCTCCCCATGAGGAGGAACCTCCATAGGGAAACAGGGGTGAACTCTTAAGCCATTATCCCCTGTAACCCTGTGGAAAAAGATCCATAGTAAGCAAGTGTCCCCTTGCAAGTCTATGGAAGGAAGACCCTTCAAGACCTGGGTAACCCCCAGCCTTCGGTTTTAGCCCAGGAGGGGGGTAAGCCCAGCCCTGGAAGCCAACACAGAGCAAGAGGGAAAGAGAAAAAGTTCCAACTACAATGAAAGTGCTGCTGCTGCTGAGGATCTACTACTAGAAAGAGAGAACTGGAACTCCAAAGATACAGAATGAGACTACTTCTTCTCCTTAGACTAGTATAAAAAAGGAAGAAGTATTTCTGTGTATATATAGCATTTCAACTTGAGTAGAAATTGTTATAAATATAGTTCTTTAATTTTTCATTTATTAATAGTTTTTGTTTTACTAGTAATAAATGTTTATACTGTTTTCCCCAAATCCTGTCTCTCTTTTGTCTACAAAAACTTACTCTCAACTAGTAGTAATTATGTGGGAAGTGGAAGGCAAAATTGACCCAGAGCAAAACCACGACAAGGATAACTGAGGTTGTGCATGAAAAATTCAAGCTTATTTCTAGCATGTTCTATAAATCTTACCAACAGGTTATGCAAAATCCAAGTTGTCCTCCAGTTCACTGGCCCACTACCTTGCCTCCTACCTATTATATCCAGAACATACATTTCAAACACTACCTTGCAAGGTCAAGTCTCCACACATTGTGCAAAGCCTCAGCAAAACTTCTAATTTCATGCCATTTGCCATTCAGAATGCACAGACTCTATTATGACAGAGGAAATCCCCACTACTACATTCACCCACTGCAATTTCTCTCTTTCTTTCCTTTCAATTCACCCAATGAAAGGCACACATCCAACACACTTCTATTCAAATTTCAGTATATATATCTCAAGAAGTTTCTTCAGAGGAAGGGCTGCCAGCCTAACAGACTGGCCCACCTGAACAGGCGCCCACACAACACTCCTCAAGGAACCACACAGGTGCACGTAGCAGACTAAGCACATCATTTCCTATCCTTGTCATTACTTCTCCTTAGAGTGACAACCATCATACAACTGGCTATGGACAACCTCCAGCACACAGTTTGTTGGGGTGAGCGGGGAGTCTGCGGAGCCCCTGATGAAAGATAAAAAGGTGAAGGATTTTGACTTAGACATTTTGGGGCCGATTTCCCTGCCAGGGACTGCGAAGGACTTGAAAAGGTGCCAGACCTGACCAGTGAGAAAAAAATGTAAATAAGAAGTGAACATCCAATCATATGTGAAGGTTGGTAATAAATTATAGATAACAGAGCTAAGAATAGTTTTGATATGTAAGGTTCTGCAGAGTGTGAGAACAAGATGTAATATACTGGACGAAGCAATACAAGCTGAATGTAGGCCATCATCAGAAAGGTGCCTAGTTTTTAATTCTTGGCCATCCTCAACTTACTACAGCAGTTCCATAAGTAAATATCCCTGTAAGAGAAATCGATACAGGTACACCTTAAGACAACTAGATTTCTAGTTGAATGAAGGTGAGCATACCTTCATTCTGAGTACCACTCCCTGTCCAGTTGCTTCACGAGGGAGCAAACACGAGACATAGCTCCTGCGAGAGTACTTAGGTGGAAAAGCTGGAAACTACCGTGTCTGAAGTACACAAGTCTAGCCTGATCAAGTCTTGGAAAACCAGCCCTCCTGCCCTAGGTCTGTTACACTACCCTGAAATTTTTCAAGGTTACACATGTCCCATCACCTCCCTACCTACACTCCAGAATATATTCACTAGAGTACCCACACACTTGACTGACATGCAAAGCTCAGTATCTAGGAGATAGCATTTTCCTCCCTGCTTGAGTGAAAGCATTCAAAGGAGAACCACAAAGATAGAAAAGTGTCTGGAGAGGGAGCCATACAAGGAGGAGCTGAGATCACTTGGTCTGTTCAACCTGGAGGAGACTAAAGGGAGACCTCAATGCAGTCTACGATTTCCTCACGAGGGGAAGAGCAGGGACAGGCATTGATGTCTTCTGTCTGGTGATCAGTGATAGGACCTGAGGGAACAGCACGAAGCTGAGT